GATTTGCCATTTGACTTCTTTTATAATTTCAAGGGTTTCATCAAAGATTCTTCCCGACAAAATGTGACAGCATTCGGCTTGTCAGATAGAGTAATTTCTCAGGAATAAAGCACACATTGGCAATGACAATATGTTATTATGCACCAAATTTTAGTTTAGTCCTCCAAGGACAATATTAAACAAAACTTATACATCTAGAATCGTGATCTTATGTTAATTAATCAAGGTTCATCAATTACCTGGAAATATGCTTCCAATAGATAAAATCAAGTCCTATCTCCTTCATCATAACCTTAGATTTTAACAAAACAAAAGCATATCCCTGTATAGATACCGCCAATCAATTTCTTGTTGTGAACCCTAGTTTTACACGCCAATTTCTTAAATATTTTTCAATTTTCTTGATACAAGAACATGCTAGTATAAAAGTTGTATAAATTCATGCATGCTCAACACCAAATTATAGAACACAAAAAAGAAAGAATTCAAGAAAGTAAAAGCAATGGCGTCGAACATCGCCGTGCTTAGTGCCCTTGACAATGCACGAACGCAATGGTACCATGTGACTGCGATCGTCATTGCGGGAATGGGGTTCTTCACCGATGCGTACGATCTTTTCTGCATCTCCACTGTCTCAAAATTGCTGGGCCGTCTCTATTACTACGATGGCTCCTTGACCAAGCCGGGAAAGCTTCCTCATGACGTCAACAATTTCGTTGTTGGGGTGGCGCTGGTCGGGACCTTAACCGGACAGCTGGTTTTCGGGTGGCTTGGGGATAAATTGGGGAGGAAGAAAGTCTATGGGGTTACTTTGGTTCTTATGGCTCTTTGTGCCATTTGCTCTGGCTTGTCATTTGGATTCAGTCCAAAAGCTGTTATGACTACACTTTGTTTCTTCAGGTTCTGGCTTGGCTTTGGGATTGGCGGCGATTATCCTCTCTCCGCCACGATCATGTCCGAATACGCCAACAAGAATACCCGTGGTGCCTTTATTGCGGCAGTGTTTGCTATGCAAGGTGTTGGAATCGTCTTTGCCGGTCTAGTATCGATGACCCTCTCGAGAATATTTCTTGAGGAATTTAAGGGTCCGGGATTCTTGGCATCGCCGGTTTTTTCGGCTGAGCCCGAGGCGGATTATGTCTGGCGAATCGTGCTCATGCTTGGAGCTTTGCCGGCAATTCTCACCTTCTACTGGCGGATGAAAATGCCGGAAACTGGCCGGTACACGGCCCTGATCGAGGGAAATGCTAAACAAGCTGCATCGGATATGGGGAGAGTCCTTGATATAGAAATTCAAGCCGAACAAGATAAATTAGCAGAATTTAAATCTGCCAATGAATACTCATTGCTATCAAGTGAGTTTTTCAATCGCCACGGTCGTCATTTAATAGGTACCGCAACTACTTGGTTCTTATTAGATATTGCCTTTTATAGCCAAAATCTTGCACAAAAAGACATTTTCCCTGCAATGAAACTCACTAGCAAACCCGAAACAGTAAGCGCGCTACGCGAAATGTTCGAGACATCCCGTGCCATGTTCGTGATAGCCTTATTCGGGACTTTCCCCGGTTATTGGTTCACCGTGGCGTTCATCGAAAAAATCGGCCGATATTACATACAATTGTTGGGCTTCTTCATGATGTCTGTATTCATGTTCATAATGGGTGTCAAATATGATTACCTCAGGAACGAAGACCACAAATGGGCTTTTGCTAGTCTTTACGGGCTGACGTTCTTCTTCGCGAACTTCGGCCCCAACTCAACCACCTTTGTTCTGCCGGCGGAGCTTTTCCCCACCAGGCTGAGATCCACTTGCCATGCAATCAGCGCCGCCTCTGGCAAGGCCGGGGCTATGGTCGGAGCATTTGGTGTTCAGAGCTATACACAGGATGGAGACGTGAATAAAATCAAAAGGGCCATGATACTTTTGGCTTTCACAAACTTGATTGGATTTTTCTGTACCTTCCTTGTGACAGAAACAAAGGGGAGGTCACTGGAAGAGATTTCCGGTGAGGACGGCGGCGGCGGCGTGAACGAGACACAGTTGACCCCAAAACAGACAGTTAATCGACCGGAACAATGGGAATGATTTTACCATTTGGACAAATTACTCGGCAAGTCTATCACTTTTGATCATGTTGAAGAATTATTATTGACACTAAGTTTTATATGCATGCATGGATTTTAATGAGGGAAAATGTTGTCTTAATAGCTAGGTTGTGCTTTAAATTTTCTGCTACCCCATAAAATAAGAGCTGGATAATGTTAATGATCCTTGAACAAGCAGGTGTTTGTTTTTTTTGTTTTTCTTTCCTTTTTTTGGTTCTCTTTTGTTTGGAAATTATGAATATATAAGAATGTTTACATGTTTGTCATGTTTTCTTGTACGCTGCGTTTTCCCGCATAAAATATTTTACCATGGATAAAGTTAGTTAAGTCAAAAAATTTCAAGTAATACCTCGATCAACGTTGAGAGCTTAAATATGCTAAAATCCTACTGATAAGCTCAATTAATCAGTAATGGAGGGTGTGCCGATTGACCTTGCAACATTTTGTAATTTTACACCCCAGAATCTGCCAAGAAGCCACTTAAACATCACCAAGAAGCAAGAGCCAAGTAGGCCTTCGACGATGTTCCACATGGTAATCCCACGCATTCCTCACTCTATCTGCTCAATTCGAGCTAGTTGACCCAACGAGATTCGCCTTCAGTTGTACTAAGCCATCCCTCATGGTCTTCGCAAGGACCACCACTGGGTATGGCCGATATGGGCCTTTGCAACCACTTTGACAACAATAATACTTCGACTTCTTAAACATTGGATGCCTATTCATTGCAGCACGATTCTTGCCTCTTCAAAAGTTAGACAAAATCAAACTCCAACAAGTCATATGAATAATTAGACTTTGGACTTGGGGACTATTATTTGCCTCTATTCACGCGGCAGCCCCTAGGTAAAGAGCCCTTGTCATCGTTGCCAGCTAACCAGGATGTCATGCGAGCCCCCAAAGGTTTCAAATACCATTTTCTTCGAGGTAATGGAGATGCCATCATTTGGCCCATTAAGGCCTCGGGGTGGTCGCATGTCTGACAGCCCTAAGCCCCATCTAAAACCATATGATTACCTCGAACGCTACAATATCTGAGGTGTCCAAATCCGTATTTGTCTTGCCTCCAAGGGCGGATCTAGGAGTACTAGACTAAAAGATTTAAGTTAGGCTAGCCTCTTCCAACTTCCCCCTGTATCCGCCACTACTTGCCTCTTTATTCTTTCCAAGGTGAAATGGGGAGACCTAATCCTCAGCAATGCAAAACATGCCTCTTAAGACCGAGGCAGTTGGGACTATCCCCATAGAGTAATGCTAGAGAAACAGGGTGAAAATACAGGCTTTTGCTTCCAGAAATACTTGGCAACAATACATTGGGGGATGGGA